CTCAGCTCTTTTCCGAATCGCCTCCATTTGTCAGTTGTATGTCCACTCACACCTTGCTAAAGCTTATTTTCTTTAACCTATTAAAATGCTCTTTCTTAACAAATACCTTAATAAAAGAAAATTAGACTGAGTAATCATACCTTAAACATTCCTACATGAATATTGGCTACTCTGCCTCTCGTGTTTTCTTTTACTTGCTCCCTCTTTCAGCCCCCTTGAGATATGGAACAGGTTACTTCATCCTACACCAGCCTTAAAGCCTTGGATATCCCAAAGGGACATAAGGTTGCGATTTCTAGAAGCTCATACCTTCAATGGACCTATTCCTGACCATCAGTCGCACATTCGCAACGCAACTCTCGTGGAGCGCGCCAACTGTAGTACTGATTAAAACAATCTACATTCATGTCTTATAAATTTTCAACCCAGCTATGTAATTTAATACAGTGTATATTGTATCATTTGTATCAATTTGATCTTGCCTGTAAACTGGCATGCCTCATGTAACAAACTGTTATTTGAGAATAAATTATTATTATTATTATTACTTAATAAAGTGGGAAAACCTTGATTCCAAACCAATGTTGCACATGGGAACCAGTACCCTCAGGGAACGAATGGCGTGTGAACCAGTTATTGGTCACCGGCTACCATGGGACTGCACCTTATAAAGTTGCTTCACTGCCTTGTGGACCAGAACTTTAGGTCGAGGGCTCCGAGTGCTACCCCTAAAAAAACCGCCTGCTCCTGTCTGGGAACATGGGCAGTATCGTAGCCTTCACACAATTAAAATGAAAAGAGAAATATTATTGGATATGCCGCCCTCACTCCTATTACAAATCAAACAAAACATACCCATTTGAAAACATACACTTTCACCTTTATTTTTTGTATTACGTCACTTATCTGCACTTTTACATTCTGACCAGAGCATCCTTACCTTTAAACTCACACAGCAGCTCGCTAATGGTGGAAACTCGGTTCTATCCAAACGTTCTCGAGTCTCTGCCTGGTTGAAAATTGTATGTTACCACCAAATACGAATACTGAAGCAGTTTTCCTAAAACCACATGCACCATTCAAACTGGCTGCCTTCAACGTTCTCACACTTATGCAGGACGGACAACAGATAGAGATGACTATGTCTTTGGAAAGTTTTAATATAGGCGTCTGTTGTCTATCCGAGACCAGTATTCAAGACTCTGGTGAAGTACTACAAATTTGCTCTCCATATGTCGCTTCGAAAAGCTTGTTTTACGTGCGCTTATCCGGGGACCTTGTGGCATCTTCGTCTGGCCTTACTGGCGTTGGTGTCGCACTGAACGCTAGAGCTGAGGCAGCACTAATCGACTGGATCCCCATTAACAGTCGGTTATGTGCTGTGAGATTAGAAAGTTCCATCAAAGTGAGAAAAAATCGGTGTGAGAAACGATGTCTTTTCGTCATCTCCGCCTATGCTCCGACAGATTACAGCCCGCATGCAATCAAGGATGAGTTTTACCACCAGTTATCTGTTCTTCTCCAGAAAGTGCGTTTGACAGATATTGTAGTACTAGCCAGAGACTTGAATGCTCAGGTCGCGCGACTAGGCATAGAAGAGAGTCGTTTGGGTGGTCGATGGGAAATTGTTGGTCGCAGGTGAAATAACAGGGACTGTCTACTGCAACTGTGCACAGACCACAACCTGTTTCTGGCTAGCACTAACTTTCGGCACAGTCATCGCCGATGTGCCACCTGGCGTCCTCCCTCTGCATCTCAAGCCTGGACTCAGATTGATCACATCGCGATCAGCTACCGCTGGCGTGGTTGTGTACAAGACTGCTGCTCCTTTTGTAGTACCTATCTGGACTCTGATCATGTCTTGGTCTGCGCCAATCTCACCTTACTTTTCAGTGGACAACGAAGTGACTGCCACCAACGAATTGATGTCAGCAAGTTGGTTGTAACTCCTGTAGCAAGTAAGTATCGAACCGAGCTAGCTTCTAGGCTAGCTATCATTCCACCGAAAAGTTTAGATGAGCATTGGTTGCGATTGCAAGACGCCATGAAAATGGCGAGTAAAGTCACTTGTGGGTTGGCGAAACGTCCCGCTTATAAGCACTGGGTTTCTGCAGGTTCCTTGCAACTCATTGAAGCCCGTCGGTCTACTCCGGGTGACCGTGAGTTTGACCATAACCGAAGGATGTTACGTAATGAAATTGGGCAAAGCTTGCGTAAGGACCGAGAAGCCTGGTGGTCGAAGCGTGCTAATGTGCTGGAAGCAGCAGCTGCATCTGGTAACTACCGGAAGCTCTTCCAACTCATCCGAGCCACTGGCAGCAAGAAGTCTGGTGTGAGCGAAACAATCTGCGAGGATGACGGGATGCCAATCACTAACATCAATCGACATCTTGGAGGATGGGCAGAATTCTTCGAAGGGCAGTTCAACTGGCCTGTTGCTCTGGCAACATCGGTCAGACTGTCCTGCCCTCCATGGCCGGTAACGACTGGTCCACCAATTGAGGCGGAAATTCGCAAGGAACTCCAACTCTTGAAGCGTTACAAATCACCAGGCCGAGATGACTTACCTCCGGCCCTTTTTAAAGATGATGGTGACTTTCTGACTAATGAACTGACTGTGTTGTTTACAAAGTTCTGGGGACTAGAGAGTGTTCCAACGTCCTGGAACGAGTCGATAGCTGTCCCTATCTTTTAAATGGGTTCACGTCCTTACTGTAACAACTATCGGGGGATAAGTCTACTTCCGATTGCGTCCAAACTATTGGCTTCCGTCATACTTCGTAGGTTGTTCAAAACCCGAGAAAGATTGACTCGCGAGGAGCAGGCTGGTTTTCGTTCTGGTCGACGATGTATTGATCATATCTTCACCCTCCGTCAAATGTTAGAACACCGTCATACTTATCACAGGCCAACAATCGTAGTGTTTCTTGACATTAGGGCTGCCTTCGATTCGTTGGACAGGACTGTTCTCTGAGGTTGTCTATTGAATAAGGGTGTGCCTGGGAAGTTTATTAACATCCTGAAGGCCCTATATACAAACACCTCAGGCAGAGTGAGGGCATACAACCACCTCTCTCCATTGTTCCATTCGAGTAGTGAGGTTAGACAGGGTTGCCCGATCTCACCATTCCTCTTCAACTTGGCCATCGACGACATTCTGGAAACAGATCTGATGGATGTAAGCAATAGAGGTGTGGATCTGTCGCCTGAAGAAAGACTTTTCGACCTTGAGTATTCGCATGATATTGTCTTACTGTGCGATAATGCTCAAGCCATACAATCCGCACTTAATCTGTTGGCAATCAGTGTCCGTAGGTATGGTATATGCTTTGCACCTTCGAAGTGCAAAGTACTTCTACAAGACTGGCAGGATCCTAATCCTGTACTCACTCTGGATGGTGAGCAGATAGAAGTAGTCGAGAAGTTCGTGTATATGGGTAGCTGCAGAAGTGCTGGTGTTGGCGTGAGTGTTGAGACCAATGCACGTATAGTGAAAGCCAGAGCAGCTTATGCCAATCTGGGCCACCTTTGGCGCCTTCGTGATGTTAGTCTGGCCGTAAAAGGTCGGATTTACAAAGCGTCGGTGAGAGCAGTTCTGCTCAATGCTTGTGAAACCTGATCTCTTCGAGTTGAGGATGTTAGACGACTCTCTGTGTTTGATCATCGCTGTCTCCGAAGGATCGCTGACATCCAGTGGCAACACCATGTCAGTAATGCAGAGGTTCGCCATCATGTGTTCAGGCACAGAGACGATAACTCAATTGGTGTCACCATCTTGAAACATCGACTTCGGTGGCTTGAACATGTTCTGTGAATGTCGTCCCAGAGAATTCCAGGTCGTGCATTATTTGCCGACTCTGGGACTGGTTGGAAAAAGCGGAGAGGTGGTCAGTATATGACATGGTGTCGTGGCATGAAAGAAAGCTGCAAAGGGCTAGTTTCTGTTGGTCCTTCTCGACTCCCTGGCTGGGGTCCGGGAGATGGTGCGACACAGTGGCTAGAGACGTTATCAGATTTGGCTCAGAATAGAAGCTAGTGGCGATCCTGCTTCAACCTACCTTACTTTCTTCATAAAAAGTGATTGTAACTCGCTTAACAAAGTGTGTTTGAAATATAATGATTTATATCTCCAAGGCTGAGACTTGTGTTCTGGACTCAACTGGCTGGGCTAGACAGGGAAGCGAGACCAATCAGAACCCTAGGCCGTTCTACGTGTTTGCGCTTTTTTGGTCCGATCAATAATCTGCTACCCTCTAATCTGCCATCACAGTCATAACACCAGGGCAAAGTTAATGTTCACATTTACGTGCAGTTGTGTTCGTCCTACTGCATAATTCCTATTTTAGTATTCCCTGGCTGATAAGCATTTTCTTCACTCACACCTGACCACGCCGGCTTCAATATTTGTCCCCCGCTCTTTGTTAGCATTTGTTTTATTGGCTCGTTTTTAGATTGAAGAACGTATTCACTTTTCTGGAAACGTCTACTGCTTTAAGAAGCAAAGCCTTGCAGTCATTAATATTTTCGTAATTAATAATTCCATAGCTTGGTTGGATCCAATTTCTGAAACCTGGGCGTTTCATTTATATAATTTTACCTTTATCATTATTTTATATAAGTACAGTAACACATTCATTTACCGAAACACTTTAGTTGTATTTATCGGTGTGTGTGCCGCTCACTAGAAAATAGGGTTGTAAAACTTATGGTTCAGGACTCAAGCGTTTCTGGTAGTCATAGTGAGTACCTGAGTTTCAGAATTATCTTGTAGTTTTAATCCCATGGATTCATTATTTCTCAACCCATTTTTAACGTCTAGTCTCTTCGCCTATTACTGATATACCGTCACTAATTATATTGCTCTAGGATTAATCTTGAGGGTTACATCTAGCAATGGTGGTGTGGCATGACAACTCGAACCGATGAACACATGTGATGGGTTCTACGCTGCTTAACGATAACTGAATTATGAAATTCGGTAAACACATTTGTATATACCAAATTAAGTTGAAATATTAGACAGTTATTGGAAATAAAACCTTAAATGCACGAAAACTGTTTAACTGTACAGTTATACATACAATCATTTAAGAGCATTTACACAAATATATTAAGGAGAAATGCCACGAAATATTAGACAAACAGGCAACGATAAATTATATGGAAATTAAGCATTTGTGTAGGAACGGTATACATAAAGTATCATTCTGAGCTAATTCTTGTACTTCATTCGACTGGATTGTTTCTATCCTCTTCTAATTTACCGATTAAATTTTTAACACGATCCAATATAATCATATTTTTACCAGAACAACAGTCGATATTGTATGGCGGCTTAATAAATACCACATTATGAATAACTACTTCCTCTCGATCATTTACAGTTACTTCATTTAGATGATTTAAAGAAAATAGTTTGATGATTTTCTCACGTCGACAACTTAACTCATCTGATGTTAACGTTTTGATAGCCGAAGATGTTGTTTGCATTTCTTCACTTGTATTCAATGAACATTTGTCAATTGATGTGAAAGAATCAAAAATTTTTATTAACTCGGATGGGATTTCATCACCAAGTATCTGAATAATATAAAACAATAACAATGGAAAATAAATATTGGAATATTTTACTGATTTATTTATAATAAAAAATTTAAAGAAATATGAACGGTCTCCTACATACAATTAAGGAAAGTATGGGTTGCCATTTTGGATAAATCAATGGTTAGACTTATGGTTGATAAATAGTAATCTGTAATCATTTAAGCGGCTCACTGTATAGTCACAAGAAAGTGTGTAACGTACAAATAAACCAAATGGAGTTAACAAAGACAAGAAAATTCGGGAAACCTCTTAAACATTATCCCACAATGATACAGTTTGGAAAGAATCACACAAACTTGAAGATTATTTCAATTTATTACTAACGAAATCTCAAAAATTCATCAAATGGTAAAATGAGTACAAACCTGGTAGCAGTTTTTAAGAAAGATGCGATATCAGATAAGGATTTTGATAGTATGTCGCATTTTTGTGACACATCAATTCAATGATAAATCTTACAATGCTATACAGTTGATCAGTGAATATCTGGAAGTTAACAAACATTTTATTGTTTTAAGTAGATATCAACACAACTTACAAAAAATCAATAATAATAAACTGGAGCATCAAGGCATGTTCAGTAATATAAACACGGAGAACAATAATCATTAACACATAGAATCATCAGGAAAGACTGTTATGCAGTTTGTACGAAATTTGTTTAACTCATAGATAATAGTAAGAATTTGTCCAGTACTAAAAATTAATGGGTGCCTCCAGCAACGAATGACTTTGAATGCTATTTATTAGAGGCCCTCAATCATCGGTTTCTAAAATGTTAAAGACAATATTAACATTGTTTGTGCTTCCTCACATGACTTAGACAATCAGATGCTTCTAAGGTTAATTTCTTATCTTAGTTTGCTTACCCTTGACTATCAACTTCGTCGCGCTCAAGTCAGTAAAATGAATAGTATACCATTAAATTATGGTAGTAAAGACATGCATGTTAGCTCCATGGGTAAAATCATAACCAGTTACTACAAAAATTACTATACGCTAATTAATTTCTCTTCCAATAAAAAGGCATGTGAAAAACTTTGCAAGCAAGTCTTCTTTCTGTAATTCCGAAAATCTTTGGATTACTTGTGAAACAACACAAAATTGTAATCGGTTACGACTAAATACTTGAGGTTTTTGATACAAATGGCAGATTCACGAATAAAATGGGATTTGACTAAATGATAAACGGTATAATTCGCAATGAAACAAAAGGAACCAACAAACTAGAATAATTTACCCTAAATAAAGTGGTCTAATGACGAAGATCAATCAAAATTGAAACTAGGAAAAGTGATATATAACAAGAAACCAATCGACACTTACAGTTTAGTCACAAGAACAACTTGTCCCACAGTGAAACTCATATTTTTACGAATAAAAATAATCCTAAAAATACTTCACAGATGACTAGCATTCCTTCCAGCAAAATCACTGGAAATTGATATGTTCATCTTCAGAAACGCATATCATGGGAACATTATATATATATATATATATATATATATATATATATATATATATATATATATATATATATATATATATATATATATATATATATATATATATGGAATTTCTAATATTCAAGAGGTTCGATTATTTACTTACTTATGCCTGTTTCCCCACAACACCAAATCACTTAGAGATTTAAAGAAAGATTGTAACGAATTACAAAGCGGGTATCAAAATATTCTGTCTATGATACATTTAAGTTCATTAATCACATTAAGAATGCCATGTCGTTTAATTAAGAGTGTAACACTGAAACAAAATATGTTAGATTTACGACTACACTGATTCATACGACATGGGTATTGGCTTACTGGTTAATCACCAGGATGAATTATTGTTACGTTGCACTTTTAAAATTCAATTGAGATTTAACAGTTGGATATATAGAAAAAAATGAAACTGCAATACGATCTCCGTCAGACCCAATCCTAGAAGATTGGTTCATGTATAGCTCGAAAACAATTAACTTCATTCATTTATCATAAGCTTTAAATTGTACGCAAAACATGGACGATATGTTTGTCATTTGTGACGAGAAGTGGACCTAACCGATATTTTAAATTCCTTTCATACCAGTAAACTAGACCTGGAATTTACATTAAAAAATAATGTGGGTTCATTTCTCGTTGTGTCTTTAAGACAGAGTAATCAACATCCAAAACGCTTTATCCATAGGGAAAAAACATGGAAAGGTCAGGTAACCAACTTCTATAGTTCAATCAGTCAGCCAAAACGTAGGACCAGGCACATATGCATCAGTCCAAGCGCCACACCTCATTAGTACAACAAGATAAACATCAAATTCACAGAAGTGCCATTAAACGAGAACAAGAAACTTATTCACGTTTTATGTTATCCGATATGTGAGAACTGTAGCCCGAAATGTGATGAGAAAAAGTTTGACTTCCTTAATAGAAAATCACCTGAAAAGAGCTGTTCAAGCTACTTTATAGACAAAGACATAAGGGAAAATTAAAACATAGACCTAAAAAATGGTATATATTGGAAATGTCATTATGTGGATCGGGAGTTTAAAGGTAACCAAACTTTAGATGTACTTACAAACATGTTATCTTTATCAAATAGGTGGACGTTTCACGAAAAACTGCGATTAACCATTACACTCAGTTATTCATTATCAATATAGGGTCCGGTACACATGTGTGTTGTCCTAACTCCCCATACCTAATTAGCACGATCAGATGAAAACAACTAAAGAGATCGAAATAATTCAGTTGCAATAATGATGAGAAAGACTAAACATTGAGGATATGGTTCGAAAAGGCAGTATGTAAAAGTGCATACAAATGAATACTGGGATTCAAGATCGAGAGGAAGATTAAGAGGGAATACATTTGAACCATTCTGAACAATCCCAAGCCATGTCATACAAAGCTCCCGACTACTGATCGCAGTTACCGCACAAAACACAATCAGATAGCCTGCATCCACCAAAATGTCCCAGACCAACAGTCCACTACTTCATGGACTGATGCCACGTCTTGATTTGCCCTAACCCCTAGCTTTCTTTCAACCTACTCCTAGACCAGGCGTCCCGTGCCGAGGTAGGTGGTGGATGGGGATACCTAACATGTGTTTCCATTATCTCAATTGGTGAATGTTTACAATCTCATCAACTGAATTACCATCTTCATCTTGTACTCTACACCTAACCTCAGCATTGCTTGTTCGGTGGTCCAAAAAGACACAAGCAGTGGTTTGAAAATACCTAAGATCCAATAAGGGTGATCGACGAATATAATTTATTCTTGATAGCCATGCTTCACTCCCGTCAATAAGAACAGAGCGAACTGCTATGTGTATACATATATGTGTCAAAATGATGTGGGAAAATAAAGGACAGACATTACATTTTGAAGGTCACTGCTTACTTCTACCCTCTCAACTACTTCACAGCGGACAATAGTTGGTTGGTATTTTCCATTCATTTGTGAAAATAACACATAGTTCCCTGTCTTTGGGTCTACAGTGTATAAGAACCCACTGAAAATCCTGTCTTCAATACAATATAATCGAATCATTTTATTAATCAAGGTGGACGGATTTGTAGATAAGTCCATTACACTTTAGTGTGCACGTTACGAGCTGGAACAATCGTGGGCTATTTAAGATAGATAAAATTTTGGTTAATTTGGTAAAAGTGGGAAAAAATAGACAAGTATATACAAAGTGTAATTAAACGGCTCTACACCTTGAAAAGATCTATCATCACTGGTTAGGTGGGGTTACTTAGATTGATTTCTCGACATGGCAATTTCTAATTCACAAAGGGTAATGTACGTAACAATATCTTTAATGTGGTCATCGTTTGCTCCAAATCATTAGTACATCTCGCACATAGAAGGAATGCAGTCAGGATTTTTTTAGTAAGTTTGAATTTCTTTGCTCTTTGCTGTAATTAAACGGTTTATTTATTATTGTGAAAACGTCAATGCAATCTTTGGCATGTTATACGAATTGGGTCCTAAAACAAACCATCTGTAAAAATATCAGGCCTTTTAAAATATCAAAGTTTACGCGTAAACTATGAGAATCTATTACCAAGAAAAAACAATGAACGTTCATACCCTTAGGTGCATTTTTCTACCAATGGAAAACGAGTCATTGAATATACAATCTAACAAAATAATTAAGACCGTATAGAAGGTATTGGAAATTCTGATGCATGATTCTAGTTTCGATCGGAAATTCGTAAAAAAAAGTAAAATGCAAGGTTCATAATCAAAGCAGTATTTGTTGATTACAAGGATGATAGTACCCATCATTTGTACAAATACCTAAACTAATATAAACGAAGCAACTCAGGTAGCGACATAAATCAATACAAACCAATAAGTAGGAGAAAAAACATCCCTGAGTTCAACGTGAGCTATACAAAACGACATATCACTTAGAAATTGAGTGAAGGGATGATTTTTGAGTAAACTAGTATGAAAATAAAAACCAGTGAGGATGGTCGGATACTATCTTGTATGAAATAAACCTCGCTCTTTTTTGAAATATAATTGACTAATAAAATGCCCTTAGTTGAGTAGAATCACTAAGTATTACATAGAATTTTGCAAAGACTATTGTAGATTCCTGTGTACTTAGTTGTTGAGAGAAGTTCAAGTTCCAAAGAACCACTTCGTAGTGGTTGGAATTCCTGAGTGGTTGAGTGATACATAATACGAAACCTGTAAACTTATTCCAAATGTTAGAAAATCAAATAATAATAATTTCTTCATTATATACATCAGTTTGGCCTGTGTCCCTTCAATTAAAGACCAATAGCGCACAAAACAAATTATGTTAAAGGTGTTTGAGAGATCAACAATTTTCGATTACTCACATTGGGAAATGGGAAATCTTCGAGATGTAGGGAAAGAGATACTTATCGACCTGAGAACGTAATCACAGGGTTCAGGAGATAAATGTATGAGGATGAATAGATTTTGCAGAAAAAATGGTAGGTATATGTAGTACTACGTTAAGCTGTAATCACATGATGGTATTTAACATTATTTTCCTACTAATAAAAAGTAACAACAGAAAGAATATAAAACCTGGCGCAAATGTGTATTGGTCAAATTCTCCATAATTTACATTAATACATTTTGGGAATGTCAACAAGAAATAGACAAAAAACAAGTCAAGATAACGTACCAAAATTACGGAATAATGAGATGATCAAAATTTGAAAGGAGATAAAAGATGTTAGTTCTTTTAAACTTTAGTCTGAAGACTATCTTGATGTGAAAGCATAATCATAAATCTGAACACGTAGGTATATAGTTAATAAACAGCAGCTTCAGTAAAAAAGCATTCACTCCAATATGGCGGAACGAATAATAACTTACTAACTGGTGAGGAAAAGGCTAGCTTCTAAACAAGCAATAGATCAAGGAAATTGGGTAATCAAATAGTAGTTGCTCATAAGCAGTAAAGTTAGATTAAAAAGATGTGTTGATTTATCCAACATCTTATAATATTGAGTCACAATATTTGAATTCACCAACGATCGAATTTTTCGGCGATATCAAACACCTGTCTACCGCTAAAAATTGTACTCAGTGACTTGATGAACTCATTTCAAGAACTGACATATTCATTAGTGCAATTCATAAGAACATATTGCAATGTTTTATTTGCCTGTTGATTTTATCATCAAAAATAAGAGCTACCTGAAGTTTGTGCTGATGTCGTTCAGAAGAACGATGAAAACTCCACGACCAAACCATCCATCTCAGAGAACAAAACTCCATCAAAATCATCAGCCTGAGCTACAAATCTTTCCCACCATCTTTATTTTATGGAAACAACACTATTTGAAAGCACCATATTATCACATATACAGTTCAGCAGAGAAAATCAGACTTTACTTCTAAATTTCGTTCATTAAATCTACTTACGGCAAACATAATCGTATAATCAGTATTTATCCTCATCTAATTTATCCATCACTTACAAACTTCGTGGGTTTTCGCATTTTAGGTAGTTTTAAGTTTAAAATAGTACACATATTGATATATTTCTAGGTGAGAAGTTGGAACTTGTCCTATCCTCTGTAATAATAGTTAGCAAATGTCAGTGAGATTACAATATACAACAATTAACGAGTAAGCTATTGAAACTAGCATTTTAGTGAAAACATATTGCGCTAAGAATATGGACTAAATATCTCAAAAATCATTTATCAAAATGCTATTCTGAAAGAGATGATACAGTAAATATGAGCAAAAAGTGAATTAGAAAAATGAACTACTCAAAGTAACAGTCAGAGTCCTTAGCAGATAGCTTGTCAAGCTCTGTTTTTAACAAACATGTTAAGTGGCGTTTGGTAACACAAGAATTCGCAACAGCAAGCAGTAGTTTTTCTTGAGCAGGGACATCCAGATCACAGGTACTAAGTTTGCGGGCTGCTTCTTGAGCACGTTGTATATTCGAACGCATTCGGCTAATTCGACGAACCAGATCAGCAGTATTAGATCCACTGGTTGCCAATGTGCTAGTAGAACTATTAGGACCAGAGAAACCAGAGTTATCCGACAACGAAGAGCAGATATCATCATAGTGAAAGGCTAGTAGATCTTCCACTATTTCACTTAAATCAACCCGAAGGTCAGAAGGTATTGAAGATGTTGACGAACGTAGTTGTGACATTCTGAAAACGTTGGATTTAAAGAGATTTTTGAAATATATACTTATTTGATAACTTAAAGGTAAATGGAATCCCTAATAGCTATAAGCAGTGAATGATCCAGTTAAACTTTTCTTGCATCTATGGTGGTTTTGAATGAAAACAGGTTATGTGTAGGCAGAAAATAACTCAAGTATGTTACTGCGTAACGTCCGTGTGCGAATGCTTTGAATATGTGGCTTTACTAATGTACTCGAACTTATAGAATAATGTATCTGATACTCAGACAAAAGTAATACAAGATACTAGTATCACTAGTAGTACATGCTCAGTGTCTAAACCAATAATAGCTTTCCTAATACTAACTCTAATATTCTGGATGTCAAATCTTACATCAAAACATTTAAATTTTTGAAACAAACTTGTGCCTTGAAATAGCCTGCGAAACAGGACATGAGCAAGATCACTTTCTGAGTGCATATTCGTTTATAAAATTATATTGAGTCTATACAAAATAGAACAATGAGTCACTGCGACTTGGGTTAACAGTTTTACACGAAAGGAAAGATATTAAATAAAGATGCTGTAGCAGTCTCTCTATTATAATCCCCGCGTAGTTTATCATAACTTTTGAACAAATAAATTATTCTAATTATTCCAGTTATTGTCAATCATGAATGTGGTCTTGAGTATGTAGGTAAGATGGTACGTATGTGTGTAATGATTCGATATGTTACCGAATGTTGGATGGTATTTTCACTGTAGTCTGGTTTCGTTATTTTGGGAAATTTGGATAAAATATTGTTTATTAGGGTGTTGATTTTAATACTATGTATGTGTTAGTCCGACTGAACTCCCAGAACTTGAAATTTCGTACAAGAATCGACAAGTTTTCGTTTTTTAACATCAACCAGTAAGTTGTAGGGGCTTAGGAAGTCTGTGACTAACATAGGGTGACGGACATCGGTGATAATAAACCCTTAGCTTAGACGACGTCTAATTCCCAAGTTTAATATCAGTTGTTCTCCAAATGTCTTTATTTCACTTTTATTAGCTGCTCTCAATGAGTATTTTTCACAATTGGCAATAGATCTCTTGGCTTAGGTAACTGGAAGAACACTAACTTCGGCTCCAGTGTCTACTCTCCGTGTCCACCAACCCGGTTAGGGAGATGGATATTCGCCTTTTATCCTCTCAATTTCGTCAAAAAACACCATCGCCGCGAGAAGACAGTTAGTAGGACTTCCCTAGCAGTAACTGTACACACGTGGCCTACTCTGTATACAACAATGCTCACAGTTACCAATGATATGCCAAAAAGGGTTAACTCAACAAAAATAAGTGTCTATCTATGAGCTAAGCAGAAAGGTAACAAATAAAACTTACAATAAAAATGGTATATTAAATAACAAAATGACAATAGTTGTTATGAAACGAGTGTTACTTGTAAACCGCTTCTGAGATGACACCCTCAAACGAGGTCACTTGATTACCGAAGGTTCCTCTGCACGTGGTGGGACCAACGACGTTATGAGAACGATTAAATCTGATAATATTATCCAAATAAAAATCCGAGCCGAAACTCCAACGTAGTGTAGGATTACTTAAAAGGATGTTATAACACTACTATAATCTTCGGTCAAAAAGCTATGGCCAGTAAGACAATGCATACGGCCGGACACAGAGCCCACTTTCAATTAGAGCGGCAATATGTGTTCAAATGGTTCAAATGGTTGTGGACGGAATAGAAGAAGCTTTCGCTTAACAGGCTTCCGTGTCTAGTAGCAGGGGATCACCAAATCCTCCAGGCAGGAACCTAGGTATGTTAACAATAAAAGAGGAAAAGAAATTGGTAAATCATAGTGTGATGCTGTCCTTGGTCCTTAAGAATAGGTCAAGTTGCCTCTTGAAGGACTCCTGAGAAGTCGCTTGGACTAGCTC